CCTCCAGCAGATGGTACTATGTTTTGCAGATCTAATTGCCCAAGGTCATCTGCACTATAGATGTTCTTGATCGTGTTCAGGCCTGTTACAGGGTTCTCAGTCCTCCCTTTCACATATTCAACTTTTGGTGTCCCCTGAGGAGATGAAGAGACTTTGGACTGACCATCTCTGGCTCTGAAATCATCCACCTTAACACCCTTACCCTGACACACTGCAGGCTGCATGGAAACTTGCTTTTCTTTTGGCTTTTCCCATGCCTGCTGCAGGTCTGTTAGCTCCCCACAGCCACACTTCATTTCACTGCTCGCTGTTGGGCTGCCGGTGCCATTCAGGAGAGGCAGAAGTGAATCTTCAGAAATGACCAGCAATGGTTTATTTTCTAGCTCTGACTTCAGAGTCCTTGAGGCTGCTGAAATGTTCTTGCCAGGATCTGGGTTTGTAGGTGTATTACGGGACAATGGTGTTTTCTTCCCCAGGAGTTTAGGGGACAGCTGTGGAGAAACAGAAATCCTTTTCTGATCAGCCCCACTGACTTTGGTAGGATTAATGCCAGAAGAATCCGAATTTGCCTTTGCTTTGCTTTTGATGGCGAACCCTTTTAGCTTTGGTCCTGCTTTGGCCTTCTGGTTATTTAAAAGGGTGTCCATTATACTTTTTTGTGCCATTCCCTTAGATTCCTGACAGGATTTTTTCTGTGAGGATGGGCTGTGCGGTACTGCAGCTCCTTTGCAGTGATTTGTGCCTGAGCTTTGGACTTTTCCGTTGGAAGTCCTTCCTGAAGTCACAGAGTTAATTTTCTCATTTTTCCCTGGCAAGTCATGAGTTGTATTAGCCTTTGGATCTTTAGATCTAGTGGGAAAGGGAGACCTGAGTGATATTGCTCTTGGTGATGATGCGTTCACATGATTGCTGTCTGTTTTAGACGAGCTGGACAAACTGTTGGTTTCTTTCTTCAATAAGCAATAACTAACAGCATGATTACAGTCATCAACCACTGTTTCGCTTTCAGATTTGGATCTCTGCTCATCACGACATCCTTCTTTCTCAAGCAAGTTGTTCTCTAAACCATTGACATTTCTAGCAGAGCAAAAGCTTGTCTTTTTGCAGTGCAGAGACCCTTCCTCTTCGATAGATTCACAGCACTTCATATGTCCGTTACTGTTCCCCAAACCTATCTGTTCTTCTGTACTTAAGGCACCATTGTTACAGAAAGAGTAAACTTCAGGGATACTGACTGAATTCTTTAGGATGTCTCTTTCTGGCAGGAAAACTGAGGAAGGAGAACACAAGGATGCAGAGGACACATCTGAACACTGTGAGGGACATGGAGTGGGACCACCATGATCTTCCAAGCCTAGTTTGTTGATGCTTGTCTCCAGTGACCCACACATTGCACAGCCCTCAGTTTGCAAAACTTTGCTACTGTAAGGTTGCAGTGGGGACAGAGAGGATGAGCTTGTTGCAGATGTGAGATGCTGCTCCTGTGTGGGCTTTTGCGGCTCATCGTTCATGCAACAAATCTCAATTTGCTCCTCATCCGACTCCATTACAGTACAGACTGCAGGGGCATTAGCAGCAGTGCACGGCCCAAGCAACCCCTCATTAGCACTATCAAAGGTTTCTGTGACAGACTCTGCGTCTGAGTGAGAATCCTCCGCAGCCCCATACATAGACTTTGGAAAGGGGTCGCTTCTCTTACCTTCCAGAGAGTTCGCTGTAGGCAACTCATCCTCATTTAAACTGCTAAAATTCCTAGAATAGTTATTTAAAGAGTTTTTATTCACAGTAAAAAGTTTGCCTGTGTTAATGGAGTCCAACACAGACAGCCCCAAAACCCCTTGTGCATTAGCTCCACAATTCATAGTTTTTTCCAGCAGCTCCTCCTTGGCTGGTCGTGCCTCAGATCCGGGACAGCCTTCGTCAGTCCCACAGCAGCACATCGTGGTGTACTCATCTCGGAGGGGGCTTTCCGCTCGCGACGGGGTGCGCGAAGCCCTGCTCTCGGGAGCACCCATTTGGCTGAGCAAGTCATCGATATCGGTGATGGGGATGGCAGCGCAGTCCTCGGCGCAGCTGCTTTTCATGGTACCTCTTTGCACGTCTTTGCTCGTGGCATCAGGTGGCAGTGTTGTTCTCTCCACCGCGCAGCCGCCACCAGCATTTTGCAAACCTGCTACTTCTCGCTTCCCAGCACTCGGTTCTTCCTCAGTTGCGAGGACGCTGTTGACATCAGCCTGATTTTGACTGTCTACCCCTGGAGACAGGATGAGGTTTGTAAATCTGCTGACAGCTGCACCATGGTAAAAATAAATGAAAAAAAAAGAAGCAAAATCCTGTCAGATATGGGAAGTGATACACAAAACACCAGGTTTTATTACAAAAATAGACACCCATGAAGTCAGACTCTACGTTTTCCTTTTGCTCTGCACTCCTCCTCTTCTGTGATGATGTTTACAACAACTCAAATTAATCATAACCCTGTGTATCTGAGTAGCACACAGGAGGGAGCAATCCACTTATCCAAGGTGAGTAGTCATGATCTGTTTAATGCTCATCTTTGAAATTTCAGCAGTCAAAGCAGCCAACTACCAAAGTGTCAGCGTGCAGTAAGTCAGGCTGAGCAGTACCACTTCTCACTACATGTTTGATCGAAGATGTCTCCAATAGATTGCAGAGAGTACACAAAGCCCTGGCATAGCAAACAAAGGTGAACAGATAACACAGTGACGAGCTGTGCATAAGTAACTTGATTGATCCTCTCGGCACTTCTGCAGGTGTTTAATGTGACACGCATGGGTGATGTTATACTCGTATTAAGCATATGGGCTTTAAAGGATTTCTGGCACAGACCTTCCCTTGTTTCCAATACATGTTTAACCCACTCTGGGGCAACATACTGAGCTCCCTGTCACTGCTGCACTCCAACACCCGTTCCTCCAGCCCTGCAATTTTCAGCACTTCACCCTAAGTATCTGCTTGCACCTTTCTACACTGCTTCTGGGACACCCATCCCCATTCAAGCTGCTTTCTAGAGGCCAGTTACTATCAGATGAGGCCCAGAAAATGCATGGAGAAGGAGGGGTGTATTCACAGTGTCAGCATCCTTTCCTCCTCATTCAAATGTGCCAGCACATCTCTCTAATCCTTGCACAAACCTGCGGGATTATCCACACCACTTAACTTAGGTAGCCATGTTAAGAAGTGCAGGTTTCTTCTGGAGTCAACAAAGGGGAAGAGAACTCAGAAAAGCATGTGAGGCAGCCAGGTTAGGATATGAAGTACTGCCCTGCTTCAGCATGCTGGATCACACACTGAAGAGACCCTCCTCTCTGCCAGTGGGGCAGGGCAAGGGGAAAGCAGAAGAGTTGCCTGATACAGGAGTGCCAACGTGCCCCTACCCCAATGCTATTAGTGTGCAAAAGCCACTGCAATCTAAGGAGACAAGAACAGGACTCTCTGCCAAGCCAGGGATTCCTTAAAGAACAACTGGAACTGAAGCATCTGGAAGCACTTTAGGCTCCCAGGTATTAATAGGTACACAAAAAAGATCATAAGCTAAACCGAAGCAAAATATTATGTTCTTCCTGAATTTGAAAAGTATGCTTTTCTTTTTCAAACACTCATTTCCACACCACGTAATTTGTACAGTCTGTGGGGATGCATATATTGCTGCAGCAGCATAAATCAGCCCTGAGCAGAAAATAAGGAGGTATCAAATGCTTCAATTCAAACTAGGAAACTTTTTATAAGAAACATGCAAATAAACATTTTGATAAGATTCTAGTTTTCTTGGGTTTTTTGTTTCATCTTTCTGCACATTAGAGAATTCTGACACATGAAAGGGAAAGAAAGAAAAAAGGCTTTTATTATCTTATTGCCATTCACAAAAACACTATTTAAACTTCAGCTTTTAAGAGAGAAAGATGTGATTATAAAGGGTTAATATATTTACTGAACAGACACAGCAGTAAAATGGGTTGTCAGGGCAGGGTTGCTGCCAAGTTAGCTCCAGGTCTGCATTAAATGACTCAGACCTCTGCAAATACTGGCAGGAGGGATGTACAGTAAGTGAGATCTTTGAACGCTTCACACAGGAGTAGGTTTGCTCTGCTCATCATGGTGCTAGGAAGGACCCTGAAGCCTGGTTTGGTGATGAAGTGCTTTGCCTGGCTCACCAATGCAGACACAACGTACCCCCTGTTTTTTCTCTGAATCTATGTGGGAAACTGGGACAGCAGATCAGACTCAGCTGATCCAAGGGAATTTTCTTCACTGGTACTCAGAATAAATGGTACAAAAGCAAAACTACTTTCTCACCTGATGCTGCTTTCTGGATCTCCAGGGTTACGGATGTGGGAAGACACTGCATAAGCAAGCAGATTTCCTCGTACGTCATCTTACTGACTGGGATACTGTTGATGGTGGTAATCTCATCTCCTACAGCCATCTTGCCCATTGATCCCTGATGCAATGAGAGATCCAAGGAAATCATAAATACACCTCAGAAGCCCTGCCACAGGGGCAAAGATTGCAGGGAAGCAGTTAATGGCTTATGAACAACATTCCCTATTTCACATCACCGCAGATCACAGGTACCACTGCTGTCAGTTGGCCAACACGTAAATAAAGAGCAGACTGTGCTTTTGCCAGGAGAGGAATTAATGATCAGTCTAAAACAGGAAGGTCAAATGAGCTGCTGGGTTCTCTCAGAGATCAGTATCAGGATGGAGGACACAGCCCTCTTCATTTAAATGAATTGGGATGGATCAGTCCTAGCTTCTTCAGGACTGGAACACTGTCTATCATTTTTGCATTTCATGTATGAATTATATTCCTGGTCCCAATCTCCCATTGGACCAATGGGACTCTCCTAAATAACTAAGTTGGACCAGGACTGAGCTCTTAAGGTAAAAGCCTAAGTATGTTTCTAAACACTGCACAATAAGTCAGAGGAAAAGGCAGGAACAGAACCCGAATCCCCAGCTCTCACAGCCTAATTCAAACTGCTACGACATATCCCCTCTTACCCTAGCGGCCACTAACTAGATTAAAAATGCTACATCCAGCTTTGTACACCAGAGTATCCTCCTTCCTCTTTCTGCACTTTTGCATCTAGGTCAGCAATTCCACATCCAGCATGAAGCAAGTATCCTCACTAGTATGTGCATGTATGAGATGCAGAAGAGCAATGTTACTGGTACGGCCATGGCACTTGGCAAACCTGACTAGGGCCTAAGGCCTCCTGGTACCAGATTTGTATAACACAGCAATATGTCCAAATAAATTAATAAACATTTTTACCACCAGGATTTACTTATTTTGTCTTTGCCTCTGGTAAAAAGAAATGAAACAAAAGGATAGTATTCCCTCAAAACTGTGACTGCAAGTGGGAATCAGTCCATCTCAGTAGATCTGCCTCTTGACTTTCTTAGTTTTGAATCAGCCAAGGGTGCACTTCTGAATCAGACACACTTCATTTAACAGCAGCTTCAGAACAATATGGGATGAGATGTTTTGCCCAGCAGAGACAAACATCTCCCCTGCGCTTACTCTCAACAAATCACTTCCTTAATAATAATCATCATCATCATCATCATCCCCCCTGCAAAGTGAAAGCAAATCACAAGGCAATACAAATTAAAAAATTACCATTTCTGCTGCTCCACCTGGCCGCAGTCCTGTGACAACAACCTTTAAGGGTATGGCCTGGATTTCCAAATCCAGGCCGAATGACTCGTGCTCATTGCGAACCAGAGTGACTACTTCACCCTGGCCCTGCCCGGCCCCATCAGGTGCTTCACACTTCTTGCTGTGAGGGAGCGTCCTCGCCACAGGCTTGTTATAAGAGCCATGCTCCTCTGTCCTCTGTCTCTGAAGGCTTCGGCACTCAGTGCTCATCATGCTTTTCACTCTCGTGACTGCTCTGTGCTCAAGTTTTGGCGACCTCTTAGATTCGAGTTGTGCTTCCCGGAGCTCCTTCAAACTCAGGCTGCCAAGACGAACTTCAGGCACACTTGAGTAATCGAATGCTATGATGGGGAAGAAAGGAGAGTCAATTTGCTCCAGCGAGCTGTCTGCAGACTCCACGGAGTTGCTGAAGACAGGGGAAGACGTCTCTGTGCTACTATGTCTAGTTGATTCACTGTCCTGGCTCTCATCATTGATTTCTACAGACGAGGTTGTAATGACAATGCCAGCATCCTCCTGGCTCTTGGCCCTCTGGCTTCTTTGCACGTGGGAGCTTTCGTCATCGTCACTAACGTCACCATCGTAGAAAACAACCCTCCTCTGCCGATGAAAGGGGCTGCGGGCAGATTTGGGGCTGTCGCTGAGGATGCCGGGTCGGACAGACTCCACGTGCTTGTTGTGAAGGCCGGATGATCTCCCACTAGTTGGAGAAGCCAGACCATTTGCTTTTGCCGCTCCTGCTTCTCTAGCAGCTAGAAAAAAAAAAGTTATACTTTAATGCCATTTATAGATGATTTTTAATACCATGCATCTGACTGCAGCGGAGTACATGTGGCTCTGTTTGCAGGGCTTAACCTCTCTTCACAAAGCAAAAAGCGGGTTTTTCATGTCCTCCCTCTAACTACAGTAAACAGCAAGAGGGACAGCAGATAGCTCCACGATTTATGGGTAATTCCTGAAATCAGTTCATGGTACATCTGGTTCTATTTTCAGTTTATTTCTAAATTATGACTATGACCCAAAGAAGAAAGGGATGCAAATTCACATGTGTATTTTAATTTAAACAACAGAATTTCTTTCACATTTTGCTTAAATTTATGCTCAGGATTGCCTGTATCAACTTACAGAGAGTGAAAAATGCTTTCCTGAACAAAGACACAAGCACACGACAATAAGTTTCAATTAAAAACTAATAAACCCAAGAACCCTTTCCACATCCTTCTTAGAAAGAACTGCATCTTATTTTTGTAGAAAGTTTTTTTGTTTGCTTTGTTTTGTGGGTTTAAAATGTTAAAATGCTTTTAAGCATTAAATAATGAATTTCCAGAGAAAAATAAGCTGTAGACAAAGACATTACTTGAGAAGCACAGGAAAGGGAGAACAAATGTAATATCCTTTGAATTTGAAATCAGGTGCAAGTCAGTAAGGACATGCAAGATTCCTTCAGTCCATTACTATGGGGAGGAAGACACATATGCAAAATATCTGATGTCAAATTGAACATTTGATTGGTTTTACACTGCTATAGATGACATTTTGAAATTGTGTATTTGAGATGTTATGAACACTTTCATTTAAATGTAATCAATCAGATGATCATCAGTCATTTGAAAAAAAACCTGCAGTGCTGTCAATCTAGTTTCGGCCAAACCAATCAAATAAAGTCATTTTCACATAATCAGAGCAGCAATTTGGACAAAATACCATGGAAACGTGCATTTATGCGCATTGTTGTAAACCCCTTCCATTTTCCAGAATTTCATATGATCAGCACTGGCTTGCACTACGCTGCCAGGCATTTCTTACCAGCACAGGAATCACCACAGCTCTCCTGTAAAGCAAACCAGCGCTCAGTGACTCTCCCCATTAGCCAAATGACCAGACACATTTCCGTTGCTTACTCAGGTTGCCAGGAAGAAGAGAGCCATCATCCAACAAACTGTTTCTGCTCTTCTGACGGAGCTGCTCTTCGTCGCAGGAGCCAGTTACAGCATCAGAAAACGAGAGCTGGCTCGTACTGTCGTGTGAGAAGTACTGGGAAAGCTCTGCCTCGGAGCTGACAGATCCCTGCTGAAAAGAAGTGAGCCTAGTGACCGGCCATCATCGATGTTTAAAGTCCCTGTCTGCATGCAAGCACCTCAAACTCCACTCACATCGCCCTCATCAATAAAGAAAGTTTAAAGCCAATTTTTAAAATAGAGGACTTGTCAGCATATTGAGAGCCAAACTGTCAAACTTGGATGGCTGAAATACTGCACATCAATAAATTTTTAGCCAGTATAATAAATAAAAAAGGATTCCAAATCCCACTACTTTGCAGATATGGTTCAATGCAGAAACAAGGGATGAAACCATTCACTTGTGTAATTCCCTTTATACACTTTCTGCACTGAGAGAAGAGAAGGGTTTGTACCTCTGGACACAGTTTGTATTCCTTCTTTGGCTCTCCCAGGAAAACCAGAGACTTTTCCACCACAATGGCTATATAGAGAGAGCAAGCGCTCAGCCTTCTGCCCACAGGCTCAGGTCTCTCCTGCTAACCTTGCCTCTGTGTCCCACAGAGCAGGGGTGCCTTCAAGGTGGCAGGAGGTGGGAGCACAGCTTTCTCTGCCTTGCTCTGCACATTGCTCCCAAAGGCTATCGCCACACAGACTAACAGGAGCTTGCTGCTGTCATGATTTAAACGTGTGACATAAAAAACCAAACCCTTTTATGGAGCTCATGTGACAGGGAAGGAGCATAGAGGTTTGGTTTTGAACTCCTTGATCAAGTAAGAGCTTCAGTAAAAGCTAAATTTGAAGCAGACGCTGTATTTATTGCATCTAATCCTTTTACCCGGCTTGCTGGCTCCAGAAAGCGTTTCATAGTCCAGCTGAGGGGAGATGAGGTCTCTCCTTGTTTGGCCTTCACATTAGGAGATGGGCTTTTTTGTACAGCTCCTGTTAAACACAGCTTAGTTAGATGCCAAAAATTAAAGTTGTGGTCCATATATCCAAACAAGCTCCTCATTCACCTTCTGAGCTGGGGGCTGAATTTAATCCCACTTATTATCTAAATTGCTTTCCTAAAGTGAGATTTATTTAACATTTCACAAGCTCTCCCTTGGATCAGACGAAACATTATCACACAGACACATTACGCCAGCCAGGCCCAGGACAGAGCTATGAACAAGAGATGAGCAGGAGATGGTCTTCCTCACCGGCTGGAGCATGCTCCTGGCTAGGTGCAACCTTGAAAGACAAATTAGCAGCCTCTGGCAAGGTCTACTTCAAACAAGGTCTTAGCTGACACAGATACAAAAAGGATAATTACAAATTTAACATTTCTGTCTAAAAATCACCTTACTAGTCACTCTGTCATTGCCAAGAGTTTGGTTTTATTTGTAAGATTTGAGGAAGTGATAAGTCTGGAGTTCAAAAACATCAGGCAAATGCCAGAGCACACATTTTGACATGACCCCAAAGATTAAAATGCAGTTGAAACACATAGTCCAGTATGCAATATCTGGACTTTTTCAAATGAACACATAAATACTTTCTCTTTTTCTTTTTTTTTTTTTTTTGGCATCTACATGGGTAAGTGTACACAGATGGAGTTGATTCCTCCTGTCCTTTCCCCACTGGGACATTGTCCTTCCCATTCATCCTGAAGAAAGGATAGAGCAACCACCTCTTGGCAGTCCTACATTCAGAACATGGCAGCCTAGAGAAACAGAGCAAGTTAACATCAGCTATAGAGTTGATCCATCTAAACTGGATGTTTTTGCTAAAATTTCTGCAGTGGACAGAGTGCTTACATCCCCCAAACTGTCCTGCTGTTTTGAGGGCCCTCAAAATATTGACGTTGGGGAACCCAAGAGCACGTCCTTAAACCTTCCTGCATCTGGAAAAGGACACATATTAGGAGAGTCCATGCTGCTACCTGTGACGTGAGCGGAGCTGGCGTCCTTGCTCTCTCGGTGGGTGGTACGTGCGATTGCTTCATCCATCTCCTGCTCAGAAACCTAAAGTCAAGTGGAAGACAGAGATCAAACTGGGTAGATGAAATGAAGATGAAAGTCTGACCACTTATCACTACAAATGCATGATTCATTTCAGATATGGTACTATTTTTAAAGATGCAGTAAAGAAGACCTAGTTCAGAGCTCCTAAGCCCTGGTCCCCTGATTCAGACTCCCTCCGTCCCACTCTCCTGCAAAAACCAGGAGGCAGAAGCCTGCTGATTTCATGAATTACGCAAACAAATAAAACAGCACTAGACTTAAAGAAATCAAATGAAGCCATTACAGCACAATTTTTACTCAATTAAGTACATTGATTTATCAACAAAATATTACTTTAAAATAGACAAAGGCTGGTTTGTACAAGCATACATCAGCAACAGAAGATACTCTACACTTAACCTACCGGAAGAATACCAGACTTTCCAAGATATTAGCTGTCTTTTTAATTTTAATTTCTCCTTGCTTTTAAAAAGAAAACCTAAATCAGTAATTGGGAATTAATGTTTCTCTGGTTTAAGAATAAATACTGGTTTACTGTATTTGCTAATTTTGTCCTGAAGTATTGCCATGCACTTAATTTTTATTACTGGAAAACTCCATATAATTTTATAAACAGGAACAACTAGTCTGTAGGAATATATATATTTAAAAACAGAAAGCAAGTTAATTCTGTCGAAAATTATTCCTACACACATTGCTTTACAGGAATTAAAATTCAGCATAAATAGAGACTAGAAACTTGAATCTTTCTGAACCATGAAGATTTGAAAGATTCCTAAGCAAACTCAGCAGTTTAAACATAGTTTAAATGCCACATTCACTCAGAATAACAAGAAGAAAGAAAATTTTGTGGTATTTCTCTTGGAAGTACATGAAAACACCGAAGTGAACATATTCAGCAACAAAATGTACTGTGGACCTTTTGTGTCATAAAATGAGACATTAAGTATAAAAATGTCTAAACCAACATGAGCCTTTGTAGAAATACATCTCTGTTTTCAGCCTGTGGCATGACCTTACAGCTAACCAAAAGCCTCCAGGCTCCTGGGGCACAGGGAGTTCCTACAGGACATGGACCGAGCCCTGAGAGTATGCTCCAGGACCTTTACACAAACCTTTGGGTACAAGATGTCTCCAGAGTAAAACTAGGTGCTGGGCAGACTGCAGTATTTCTTTAAAGCTAACCAAAAATCCACATTTCGGCAAGCTCTGCCAATTTTGATTTTCAGCATCCTCTATGCCTCAGGCAGATCAAACCGGAGAGGGACAAGCTACTTCCTAGCTACAATCTGCAGGCTGGCGTAGTAGTAAGAGCTAATAAAATAAAATAAAATACCCCACACACTTCTGTAGGTCCCCCAGTGCTGTCAGAAAAAGGGTGACAGTGACATAACGATAAATATACGTCCCCATATGGACACTCCTTCAGAGATCCAACTATGAGGGACTGCGGATTCAATACTGCTGGGGGGGAAGAAACGCTTTAGGGTGTCTCCAGCTCAACTTTTAGCTTTTCTTAGCATTTCTTGGCAAAGAATTTGTTGTCATTTTAAATATCACTTACGGAAAACTGTAATAGGAGCCACTTAATAGTTTCCCTCTGTTACTGAGTAATAGCAAGCAATTAGCTTAACTCAGTTCATCTTCTCAGCAGATACCTGGTTAGGTCACTCATCGGCTTTCAAGCCACCACCACAGCAAGATGAAGGACGGAGGAGAGAGGGCAGGCTCCGCTCCATGAAGTCTTTATTTCATGCTACTTACAGACTCTCCAAAAAGTCTATATGCCTTAATAATGCAATCAAATTGAACCATCGTGCTGGTTCAGCATAGCATACAGACTCCCTAGAAATACTGTTATCTTAGGCTATAAGCCCAATTCTTACCCCCTCCATGCTTACCTTTAACTAACAGAACCACGTCCTCTTTCTTTTTAGCAGCACAAGGCCTCACAGCAATGATAATAAACTCTGGGCAGTAGACCCCTATTTGTCTATTGTTTGTATATTTGATTTAGCAGAAAATACGCAATTAATTATAAAATAAGAAACCTGAGTTCTCCTAGATATGGATTTATTAAGGCCCCCATTTGTAGTTAAGAGTTCAAAAGTCAGAGCTCTCTGGACCCACTAATGCAAATATTTTTACAGCTTCATTCCTGTTTAAACAGGAAGGTTTTGTACACTCATGAAATTCTTTGAAATATTGAAATAAAAGAAGCTGTTATTCCCTATAGCTTGGTTAAAAGGCTTTTATCTTCTATCATCAATTTTTAAAAATTGCTTGAAAATACTCACTTTGTAAACACAGCCTTATTTCCAAATTGCCCTTACACAGATTTCACAGTAGCAGTACATTCCAAATTCTCACGTTTTAATTCCTGAAGGAAAATTTTGATCTTTGGACAGATTTTACTTTTTTAAAACAGTATTCCTACTACTTTATTATAGTTGATCAGTTCAATCTGTTGATATTTATATTCCTGGCGCTAAATTATATTCTACTCAAAGACAAACTCTCTGCAAAATAACTTTAAGGAGGAAGAGGTCTTGTGCCGTATTTGCATTGCCACTTGGTCCAAGTACCGAGAAAGATGGGAACACTTCACTCAAGGAGTTCCAGGAAAATTGCATTTGATCAGCAGGTGACTAAGTGAAAAGCAGCAGGGACAGTCCAGCATTGCTACAACTTACAAAACTGGAAGACATCATTACAATCCTGGCTTCTTGCACAACACAGAGAGAAAAATCCAGTATTCTTCATTTGCTGCTTTCCTGACAGCAAGACTCAAATTACAGCGCCAGACAAAAACAACCCAGATACACTAACACATTCTCTCCTCACCTTTGGGTTAGGATGCCGACTAATGATAAGGCTGACCGGACCTGGACCACATTCGCTCAGGATGGCGTAGGCTTCACTTAACGCCGCATGACGCAGGCTCACTGAATCTGCCTCCAGGATCTGGTCACCCCGACTGCAGAGAGACACAGAGCCAGTTAATCACAACCGCCTTCTACAAAAACACTCGTGCTTTCAACTGATGGCCAAGCTTTGTCAAAGATACAAGTATATGGAAAAGATCTGACTTGCAAGGACACCAGTCTTGCTCTTCCTCCCAGTGATGTGAATGCTTTAAGTCCCGTTCACTTTGGGAGGGAGGTCCAGAGATCCCTTCTGCACTTACTGTCAGTGCTACAAACCCTATTAAATCAACAGAGAAAACTGGCTGCATTTGGACCAGGGTGAAAGCAAACTTCAATTCCAGTTCTGCATTCAGGTACTTGTTGAGCACAGAAGAAGAAAAATTAGATTCAGATGGGGTGTTCCTTCCCCTCATATTAAATTACTTAACACAAACATTGATAAGAAATTTGTGATTTAGATTTGAGTTTATGAAATGACTCCAGGAAAAAATTGAGTGCGATAAGCCTGTATTTGCTTCAAATTAACGTATAGAACCCGTTTAAAAGACAAGAAGAAAAAACAAAAACCTCTGAGAGGAAAGCATAGATTGTTTAGTTTTGTTTTTCCAATTTCTTAACTCTTGCACATGGTGCTCAGACATCTGGAACTATTCAAAAGAAAAGATCATCAACTAGGGATATCATTAAAGCATTCTCCATAATTACTAAAGTATTTGCTTTAAATAGACATTCTCAAACAATCTACTACTGCTGATTTACGTTGGGCTACTTGTGACAATGGAAATGAGTTTGCACTGTGAGTCCACACACGAAAAGCAAAAAGGCAATTGCATGTGGCAGCCTTCAGTAACCTGTACTTCTGGTACGGGCTCAGGAAAGCAAAGGGTGACCTATCAGTTGTGTAATCATGCTGCTGCTCTGCCCATCTTTTAGATTTAAACAGCTATTAGAAACTACACAGTTGGAGTCACTTACACAGGCGCATGATTGAGAGGGGGAGCTCAGATATGGAGGAGCTGGGTTCAAACCTCTTCTGGTATTGCAAAGCCAGTATTTGATTAATGAAGTTTTCCAAAAAATCAAAACCATCCTGTAAGTTTTGGCTTATGGAGCCATAAACCGCTGATGGGACAACAGAAGCAACGTCTCAAAGAAGCAAGCTAGAAATCTGGGAAGCATGCCTGGATATAATCAATCACTTAAACCTAATAAACGATACAATTGTTACATACAGACGCAACCAGCACTGCAATCTTTTCCAAAGAGGCTTATAAGAAAGCAAGTTAGCATTAAATACTGTCTCCTCTAGACATTTTGATATGGTAGGAACTTTCAAGGGTTTTGGCAGGGATGCCACCATAAAATTATCTTCTTCCCTTATTCCAAAAAATCAAATTGCTCTATCACAGTTTTCCTGGTGAGCAAGGAAACAGAAGGCACTCTCTACCCATGTGAAAGCAAGGCATTTGCTCAGCCTCTCTGCACCAGTGCTCACGCCACATGTTCAGTGCGGATTGCGTGGTCCCAGCGGGTCTTCAGCACAGCCTCCCCTCCTGAGCGATGCTCCCAGC